TGCAGTGATTTATTGTAGAGATGAGGTCTCGCCAAGTTGCCCAGGCAGGTCTCGAACCCGCAGGCTCGGGCAATCCACTCACCTCAGCCTCCCAAGGCACGGGATTACAGGCTGAGCCACCGAGCCTGGCTTTTAGCCCACTTTTTACAACACTCCTGCCAAGTGGTCTTCTACCCCTTGTTTGAAACTGTTTTTGACAGGTTGCTTGCTACCTCACAGAGCAGGTCATTTCATTGTAAGATACTGCTGATCTTTAGAAGGTTGTTTTTTTTTTTTGAGTTGGAGTCTCGCAGTGGCACTCTCATGGCCACCCGAGGGTCAACCTGCTGGGCCCTGGCGATCCTTCCGCCTCAGCCTTCCAAGTAGTTGGAACTACAGGTGCACGCTACCACGCCTGGCTAATTTTTTATTTATTGTAGAGACAAAGTCTTGCCAAGTTGCCCAGGCTGGTCTCGAACCTGTGGTCTCAGTCAATCCTCTTGCCTTGGTCTCCCAAAGTGCTAGAGTTACAGGCTGAGCCACCGAGCCTGGCCTAGAAGATTGTTAGTACCACATTCTTCTCTATAAATCTTGCCTAGAATATGTTTAATACTTTATCTACATGGCAGCCTTTCAGATAACTTAATCATAATCACTGGCACTTTCAGGTTAAACAGCACTAATTTGGTCAATCATTCCTTGAAGACAGGTTTCAATTCCCACACATGATCTCTCTCCACACAGGCACTGGGTTTTCAATGTTCCTTTAAATGGTCATACAAAAATAGGTAGCACCCACAGTGTACACTATCCACCTCCTTGGTCTGTGGTTATTTCAAGAGCTTTGGCTGCACTTGTTTTTGGGGCAGCTGCATGATACCAGGGTTTATTGGGTTGCAGACATCTAGATGCCCTAAACTTTTTTTTTAACCACATGCTACAAAGTTAGGTCTTCACCCTGTATTTGGAAAATTGGTTCAAGTTGGGTATGAGATATAAGCGCAGTAAGCTCTGGGAGAGGGTTGACCTTAAGGAAGAGCAGGGGACCTGTGGTCTAGCAGCAAGAAATAACAATGGAACTGGCTTCTTGTGTATCACCTGGTGGACTTGGATTAGTTCCAGGCAGCCAGGGGCTGGGAAATCCTTGAGACCTGGGTCTTACTCCTCTCTGATTGTCATCAGAACAAGGAGAATCTGCACAGAATGTTCCAGGGGGCCTCAGTCAACATTTTTTCATAAAATGAGGTGAGGCCATTCAAAGAGGGTAGAGAGGTAATTGAATACAAAGAGGAAGAGTATATGGTCATCACGTTGTGTTCATGTGTGCCTCCCTCACATGAGCTCCAGACAAGCAGCAGCAGTGTCTTAATCTTTGTTATGCCTCCACAGTGCCCGCCTGAGTAGGTGCTCAGTAAAGCTTTACTGAATTAAATGTGAACAAGGCCTGCCACTTTGCCTTGGACAGCAGCACCAAATTGGAATTCCTAGACATGACTTATCTCATATTCCAACAGCTGGAGTGGGTCATCCTCCTACTACTGTTGATTCTTCCTACAACACTTCTGATCTTGGCCCGAGAGTGGAAGAGCAGCTGGGGAACACAGCATTTTATAATAACCTCTGTTTGGGTAGTTAGCAACTTGCATTGTAACTGTTTGTCTGTTTCTCCTCCGATGATAAGCTACCCTGAGGCAGAGGTCATTAAAATGTCTGATGAATGAATTTTGGTCCTTGTGGAATTACTGTCTATGAAATGGAAATCTAGTTCCTTGACTAAATAGAAATTTGTACTGTTCTGATGGAGATCCAGCCCCTTAGTCCAGGAGACCTGCCCTGCTCTAGCTAAGACCTGTTAAAACATCTGTCTGAGGCCAGACGCAATGGCTCAAGCCTGTAATTCTAGCCCTTTGGGAGGTGGAGGCGAGAGGACTGACTGAGCCCAGGGGTTCAAGACCAGCCTGGGCAACTTGGTGAGACCTTGTCTCTACAATTAAAAAAAAAAAACATCCGGGCATGGTTCCAAGTAGTTCCAGCTACTTGGAAGCCTGAGGCAAAAGGATCGCCTGAGGCTAGCAGGTCAAGGCTGCAGTGACCGTGAGCATGCCACTACACTCCAGCCTGGGTGATAGAGTGAGACTCCAACTCAAAAAAAAAAAAAGTCTGCTTGGTGGCTCACACCTGTAATCCCAGCGCTTTGAGAGGCGGAGGCGAGAAGATTGCCTGAGTCCAGGGGTTGGAGACCAGCCTGGACAACTAGGCAAGACCTTGTCTCTACAATAAATGAAAAAATTAGCCGGGTGTGGTAGCATGCATGTGTAGTTCCAGCTACTTGGAAGGCTGAAGTGGAAGGACTGCCTGAGCCCAGCAGATCAAGCCTGCGGTGAATGTAAGAGTGCCACTGCCCTCCAGTCTGGGTGACAGAGTGAGATTCTGACTCAAAAAAAAATGTGCCCAACCCCCTGTCTTTCCCTTACCCTTTGTCACCAGGCTGACCCAAGATTTCCTCACCTAGGAATTTTATAACTTTCTTTGGGACAGGTTGTAATTCATAAAATATAGGAGCCGTTGGTGGCTAAACTGCATTATGTGGAGTATCGAGAGCAGAGATGAGAGACATCTTTCTAGGTGTCCTAAAATGCTTTGGTTCCACATGACCAGCTGTGATTCTGGTTCTTTATTCAGCATCCTTCCAATAAATTCCCTTTTCTGCTTAAGGTAGTTTGGGTTTCTGCTACTTGGAACCAAAATAATTGACTAATACACAGCCCCAATCTGGGTTAATCGCCTATCTGCCTTCATTCTGTTATGAGCTATGAAGAAAAATATTGCAATGCTGTTCAGAGGGGCTACAATACCTTTCCTGATCTTCAGCCTCTGTTGAACCTTCAGTATTATGTTTTTCATATATTATGAATCAGTGGGTACCTCCTCTTTCACTAAGAAAACAACTAGGAAATCTTGCAACATTCCACTCCCTGCCGTGTCCCCAAATTTGCAATGTGACCTCTCGTACTTACTTGTTTCCATCCTGTCTCGGGCAAGTCCCACATAGGCAGTATTCAGCAATACAGCCATGCCTGGGTTTCATCCTTTTCTACTCCCTCAGAACTTCTTATCAACATACTAAAATCTGTCTTTCATTGAAACATTTTTTAAAAATTAATTTTTGATTTTTAGAGACAGTCTCGCCCTGTTGCCCAGGTTGGAGTATAGTGGCAAAATCACAGCTCACTGTAGTCTTGAACTTCTGGGCTCAAGCAATCTTCCCATTTCTGCCTCTAAAGTGGCTAGGACTACAGGGGCATGCCACCATGCCTAATTTTTAAACTTTTGTAGAGATGGTCTCTTGCCATGTTTCCTAGGCTGATCTTGAACTCCTGACCCCAAGTGATCCATCCACCTTGGCCTCCCAAAGTGCTGGGATTTCAGGTGTGAGTCACTACATTTGGCCTGAGATCTTTATTTATTTATTTTTTGAGTTGGAGTCTCACTCTGTTGCCCAGGCTGGAGTGCAGGGGCATGCTACGGCCACCACAGCCTTGACCTGCTGGGCTCAGACGATCCTTCCGCCTCAGCCTTTCAAGTAGCTGGAACTACAGTCATGTGCCACAATATCTGGCTAATATTTCTTGATTTATTGTAGAGACAAGGTCTCACCAAGTTGTCCAGGCTGGTCTTGAACCTCTGGGCTCAGGCAATCCTTTCACCTTGGCCTCCCAAAGTGCTGGGATTACAGGCGTGGGTCACCTGGCAAGATCTGTCTTTAAAACAAAAAATAACTTTCCCTGTTTCTATTTCATATTTTTGGTTAAATTTCTTTTTTGTTTTGTTTTTGAGTTGGAGTCTCACTCTGTCACCCAGGCTGGAGTGCAGTGGCATGATCATGACTAATCACAGCCTTGATCACCTGGGCTCAGGTGATCCTTCTGCCTCAGCCTCCTCAGTAACTGAGACTACAGGCATGCATCACCAGTCCCAATTTTTAAAAAAACTTTTGGTAGAAATGAGGTCTTGCTATGCTGCCTGGGCTGGTCTCGAACTACTGGGTTCAAGCAATCCTCTTGCCCTTGGCCTCCCTAAATGCTGGGATTACAGGTGTGAGCCACTGAGCCTGGCCTCCTTTTTTTGTTTTTGTTTTCAAGTTGGAGTCTCATTCTGTTGCCCAGGCTGGAGTGCTGTAGCATGCTCACAGCCACCACAGCCTCAACCTGCTGGGCTCAGGTGATCCTTATGGCTTATCCTTTCTCTCTTTTTTTGGGGTTGGAGTCTCACTCTGTCGCCCAGACTGGAGTGCAGTGGCTGCTCCCGACCACCGCAGCCTCGACCTGCTGGGCTCTGGCGATCCTTCTGCCTCAGCCTTCCAAGTAGCCGGAATTACAGGCATGTGCTACCATGCCCAGCTGATTTTTTGATTTATTGCAGAGATGAGTGTTCGCCGCCCAGGCGGGTCTCGAACCTGTGGGCTCAGGCAATCCACTCACCTCAGCCT